AAGGCAAAACACACAAACACCCTGAATAGAAAATAGTCTGTTAACTCTGGAAAACACAGATCAGTCTTTTTAAAACTGGATCTGGAGCCTTGGTCTCCCGGCCAATACGCATTCTTTTGCAAATATCGGATCCAGAGCGGCAGGGGGGTCAGTGTCTGCCTCTGTGTGTTTGTCAGGACGGGACGGTGAAGCTGTGGGAGTACGAGTCCGGCCGCAGGCTGCAGAGCCTGGACCTCCGGCAGCTGGAGCAGAGCCCCAGGTCCCAGGCTGACCAGCACAAGGTAGAGCCCCCCGTCCCCAACAGAAACGGGTCCTGCCAGAGGGTTCTGGGTCGGAGTCCCGGGGGAACCAGGACCAGAGGGTTCTGGGTCGGAGTCCCGGGGGGAACCAGGACCAGAGGGTTCTGGGTCGGAGTCCCGGGGGAACCAGGACCAGAGGGTTCTGGGTTGGAGTCCCGGGGGAACCAGGACCTTTCTGGGTGGTTCTGCATGTTCTCCTGTGTCTGTGGGTTCTCTCCGGGTTCTCCGGCTTCCTCCCACCGTCCAAAAACCTGCATGTTAGGTTGTTGGACTCCAAACTGCCCTTAGTGTGAGTGTGTGTGGTTGTTTGTGCGTGTGGCCCTGTCGTGGACTGGACCTGTCCATGGTGGACCACCTGTGGTCAGCTGGGACTGAAGTAAGGGCTGGTGAGGGGGCTCTCTGTACAGCCTCTCTGTCTGTCCGTCTGTCTGTCTGCAGAACCCAGCGATCTGCCGAGTCAGCTGCTCCCCGGATGGAGGCCACGTGGCCGTGCACTGTGAGAGGTGAGGCCTCAGGACCCCCCAGGGTTAGGGTTAGGCATTCTCATGTGTCTAAAACAAAGGGACTGACCACAGCCTCTGCAGGGGGTCAGGCTGGGGTGGTCTCATTGCTGTTATTACTGCTGTCATTATCATTAGTTATTAGAGATTATCACCATCTCTACTAGGGGTGGGACGGTTCACAAAACCCACGGTTCGCTTCACGGTTTGGTGGTCATGGTTTTGGGTTGGGTTCGGTATATGTTGATTGTTAGGAAAATCTATTATGTCTTGTATAGTCGGGTTAAAACTGAAAGAAAAAAGCAGTGTGACATGTGATCCATTACTGTGACAGTCTGAGGTTAAAGTAGGTGAGGTTCTGCCAGAGAGGAAACAGAGCTAATTCCAACATGTGCTTCCCTCTAAATGCAAACTGGTCCATACAGCAGACCTAGAACTGCTGCTGGGTCTGATTTTTATGGGCTACGCTGCTTCTTCTTCTTCTGGTTTCCTACTGGTGGTTGGCTTTGGGCGCAGTAGCGCCCCCTTCTGCTCTGGAGTGTAAACGCTTCCCTCTGAGAAAAAGGAGCAGCAGGAACCCAACCAACACACGCCAACCCAACCCAGACAGAACCCAACGGTTCAGATGGTCTTCAGAAACCGTCCCATCCCTACTCTCTACATTTCAGAGTAGGCTTAAGACGTTCCTCTATGATGGAGCTCCAGGTTTGTTCCCCCTAAAGGCAGTTGTTTCCTCCCTGTGTCTCCTAGTGCTGCTCTTGGTGGAGCTGTAGTTCTTCTGTGAATAACTCAGAGTGTGAGCTGCTGCTGCTGCTGGGATCTGGATCTCCAGAGATCCAGCTGAGCTGGAGGGTCTAGTCTGTTTTTTGGGGCTTCTCTTGGACTGCCCCGTCCTCCCCTCCGGTTGAGCCTGAGTAAGCTCTGGGTTTCCGTCCCTCATCCTGATGCTGCCCAGTCCGGCTGAGAGTTCCCGGGGTTACTCCGGGTGAAGCCGGTTCTCCAG